AGGTACGTGGATGGTTCAAAGGCTGTTATTGAGAAAGCTGACAGATCTAAACTACAACCTATAGCTTTAAGCTGTGTACTGAATATTGGTGCTTGTAAACTGAAGATGTCGAATTGGCAGGGAGCGATTGACAGTTGTCTGGAGGTGAGTCTGTTTGATCTTAAATTTTGGGGGGAGTTAGATTGTAATATGTCACTTGGATAAAAGCAATTTTTATATACATTAATATATCTTAATACATAGAACCTGATGAGACCTGATTAAACAATTTAAGGCATCTTGTTTCTAGATATTTTGGAACTTCAGTTCTTTCTCCACTTATTTACTTTGCTTTTAACACTGTGTGACATAGTATCTATGAAGATACTTTTTTTTCCCTGCAAAGTATATATCAGCTCGTTTATTCATTTGAGACCACTTATTATATGGAAAATCAGCCAGGAATGATTAAAATTTAGAGTGTGTGTTGTAGAGTCAGGTAGTTTTTTTTCTATTTTAAAAATTAGGTCTCTGCCACTCACTAGCTCTGTGTCTTCATTTCTTTATAAAGTAGAAATAGTACCTACATCATGGGGTGGTTATAAAAGATTATATAAAATAACATGAGACATTTAGTACAGTGCTTGGCCATTTTAAGCACTTAATAGGGACTAGTTACTTTAAAAGGTAGGTCTGTGTTCTTAAGAAGCGTAATAGATTTGGGATAGAATGGAGTCAATTTCAGTTTAGGGACTATTAGGACTTACATAGGGAGGGGTGGGTACTACTGGCACAAGCAGAAAGGTTTTCTGTATTTATGGGGGGCGTCCAGATACCTTCCTCAAATAGAGCATTTAAGATTCTCTTCCCTCTTGTACAGTTTGTTAGAAAAATTTTCCAAACTAGACATTTTATGTATTTTGCATATAAAGCTATGTACTTAGATCAGCTGTGTATGCTCAGAGCAAATAGAATTAAACTGATACCCTAATTTGGTAGGGGAGGTGAAATAAGCCATAGAATATACTATTTGGAAGGGAGCATATAGAAGGAAAAAACTTATCAAAAGAAAAGTTTGGTCTTCACTTGGGATCTTCTTGACTTTTGTGAGGCAGATAGTACACTCTTTTTAATAAAAATCAGAGTATTGGCTTTTAAAAGATGTTACATAAACAAAGTATATTATTTTAAAAAAATGTTTGTTTCAAGGAAGAGACCTAAAACATAAGCTTCTTTCAAGTTATTAAAAGGTATCTATGTTCCAAAGAAAATCTCTAGATTTCAAGTAAAAGAGTATATGTACAAACTTGCTCAAAATGGTTTTCTCTTTTTATATTAGGGTCCAATCAGGAGCTAGAACCCCCAGTGCTGAGAAGCTCTGTAGGGAAACATTTTCTCCTCCTTTCTGCTTTAGTGACCTCTACTGGCAAAACGTAACATGGTAGCTGAAGAGAGTTATTTATAGGTGCCAGCTCCATTTTCACAGAGCAGTGAAGGGTGAATTTGGAGTTGACAGGCAATAAATTAAGATTTGACACATACATTTAATACTTAATACTCATATACAAATACTAATTTTATAATTTTTTTTGTAGGCTCTTGAAATAGACCCATCAAATACCAAAGCTCTATACCGCAAAGCTCAAGGATGGCAGGGATTAAAAGAATATGATCAAGCATTGGTAAATTTTATTCTAAATGTTTAATTTTTTGAAATAGACAATTACCTTTATAAATCATACATCTAATTTTTCTTACATGTTTTTTTCCAATTAAAGGCTGATCTTAAAAAAGCTCAGGAGATAGCACCAGAAGATAAAGGTAAGTAGGCAGTTTTTGTAGTGAAGTATGAACCATTGTTTCCTTTGCAGATATCAAAGATATAACAGATATTCTATAGTATTATTGAATAAAGAAATATCTCCCTGGCATTGATCATTTAGCAGTGAACAAAGTAGTCACAGTCTTTGCCTTCAGAGAGTTTACATTGTAGGTACTGTCAAGAATGTACTAGTCGGCTTGGTGCCCGTAGTGCAGTGGTTATAGTGCCAGCCATATATAGCGAGGGTGCTGGGTTTGGACCCAGCCAGGGCCAGCTAAACAACAACTGCAACAAAAAATAGCTGAGCATTGTGGCAGGTGCCTATAGTCCTAGCTACTTGGGAGGCTGAGGCAAGAAAATTGCTTAAGCCCAAGAGTTTGAGGTTGCTGTGAGCTGTAACGTGATGACACCCTACTGAGAGCAACATAGTGAGATAGAGTCTCAAAAAAGAATATAATTTCCCCACATACTCTTTATTCTGCCATATCATTTGAGGCTCCGATTACAGTAATTCTAATTAAAAGGTTAGCACTAAAAGATAATAGTATTTGTGCTAAATTTAACATCTGGGACCCCAAAGTACATTACTTAAAACATTAATTTTTAATTCAACTTGTTAATATGTTGTTTAGGATGTTGCATCCTCATTTATAAGTGAAATATGTTTGTAATTTCCCCTTTATAATAATACATTTCCTCCAATTTTAATATTAGGTGTATCCAGATTAAGTAGAATGATTTTGAAGTATTTCTTCTTTTTCTATTGTCTGTAAGATTTGGCATGATCTGTTTTTTGAAATTATCTTTTACTTTTATTTATAAATATTAGTTGTCAATTTTTGAGACTTTGGGGAAAAAAAAAAGTAGTTAACTGATGACTCCATACTGAACCTCAGTCAAAGCATTCTATAATAGATATACTCTTATTTGACAAGGTGAATGTTACTTTCTTTGCATTATTATTATTGCTTAATATTTTGATGCAGCAGTCGTCTGATTTCTTTTCTGAATGTAAAAAAAAAAAAAAAAACCCAAACATCTGGGATCACTCCTTGAGCTGAATGTGGCCATAACCTAGTATTTTAGCTACTGGTTATGTTTTAGGAAACTTAACAAAAATAAACTTGTTTTTAATATAAACCTATTATGAACAGTTACACTAGATCTAGACATTAAAAATATCTTTGTTTATAAGTCTAGCATTTTTGGAGGCCAAGGTTGATGAGTATTGCTTGAGGCTAGAAGTTTAAGACCAGCTTGAGCAAGAACGAGGCCCCCTGTCCTTTGGTGTCTTATTGCTAAAATGAAACAAGGGAGGCAATAACTGTTCTAACGGAGAAGGCAGATCTTTGTGTAACTGAATTCTAAGTCTTCTAAAATTATGCTTTATGATTTTTGTGTTTGTGTGATTACTCTTAGAGTATGTTAATTTTCTGTTTTTAGGGCACAGTTACTTTATGGAGGAGAAAAGTTTTATCAAGGGGAGTAAGCCAGGTGTTGTGATGGGCATCTGTAGTACTAGCTACGTGGGAGGCTGAGGCAAGAGAATCACTTGAGCCCAAGAGTTTGAGGTTGCTGTGAGCCTGTGACACCAGGGCACTCTACCAGGGGTGACAGAGTGAGACTCTGTCTCAAAAAAAAAAAAAAAGTCTGTTGTTACCGTAAATTTTTTGTATGTTTTGAGAATTAACTTATATTGCATATTTACTTTTCAGCTATCCAGGCAGAATTACTGAAAGTCAAACAGAAGATAAAGGCACAGAAAGACAAAGAGAAGGCAGTATATGCGAAAATGTTTGCTTAATAAGGATTGTTTTGTTTAAATATTACATGTTAACGGTATAAAGGTAATAGGAAATGTAAGGGGCTTTGTCTGTTCATATGACCCTAATGTGTTTCCTTTGACACCTCAGTTCCCTGTTGTTTACAGTTGAGGAGTACTGATAGGGGTTTACTCTTAATAAAAATGTTTCAGTGCATTAAAGTTTTTTTTAAATGGTCATCTGCATTATTTACAAAGAATAATGGTGTCTAGTTTGTTTTTAAACTCCTGAAGACACTTGTTGAATAAATAGATGAAAGCTTAAGTTTCTATTTTTGTATTGTTTCCCTCAATTCTTTGATGTATCTGTGGTTAGTTTGCATTGGTGTTTTACACTTGTAGATAACAAATGTATACCTGTTCAGGGTGGCCAGACTTTTTTGGCCAAGGGCCAGATAATATTTAGGTTTTGTATACCATCAGTCTGTCACAACTACTCAATTCTGCAGTTGTAACTCAAAATTAGCCATAAACATTGTGTAATCAGTGGGTATGGCTATATATCAATAAAACTATAATATGCAGTGAGCTGGATATTGACCTCTGGTTTATCACAACTACTCAATTCTGCAGTTGTAACTCAAAATTAGCCATAAACAATGTGTGATCAGTGGGTATGGCTATATTTCAATAAAACTATAATACGCAGTGAGCTGGATACTGACCTCTGGTTTAGAATATATGTTCATTTTCATGTTTGAGACTTAAATTTGGAAAGTCAAGTGTATAATAAAGTCAAACAGTGCATTATGCTGTTGGTCCTGAATTTCTGAAGAACTGAAGAGGTACAACGATGTTACATCATTATTACAAGTTTTATTTAGGAGGTATATTCATAATATTTTATGGGACAATTTTAGATAAAGTATAAAATTTTTACTTGTAATTATTTTGTGAATATCCTGATCAATGATATGTTGTATTTTGACACTTGTTAACATTTTAATGTTAGCTTGCCAAATGTGCCTGCAAATGACATTATTCTCAGTTTACATTCCATTGTAAGCAGGTCCTCCTCCACCTTCGGGTACCACCCAGTTAATATTCTGACTTGGATCTTTAATGTCACATGTTTTACAGTGCACACAGTTCTGAGCATTTATCTGTAACCGAACTCCATCACCTTGTTCCAAAGGTACAAATTCGTAAACTCCTATAAAATAAAAATAAATAATATTGAAGTCCTTAACTTAAAACCTTGGGTAGGATCGTGCTATCAGTTGGAACATGTTTCTTTTCTTGTCTTTCACCCACAAATGTGATGCCTTTTCCATCTTCAGCAAGCACTCAGGATACACTGTGGCTGTAACTTTTGCAGTTTGAGATATGACAGTAAAACCACAAATTTTTTTCCTACTCTATTTTCCAGATAGAAGCTTTATTACCACTGTAAATCTTAGCAATGGCTGCATAGGAATTTGTTTTCTTCCCATGAATTGAGAATTTCATCTTTTCACAAAGGAAACAGTTAAGGCTCCTCTTCGATATACCTGAGTTGTCAGCGTCACTATTCTTGTGTTTTGGGAACATAAGGCACTGTGATACCACCACATGACCTGATAACCAAGGTCTACTAAGTAACATAATGGGAGGCAGCTTCTACAACTTGTTTACTCTGGGCCAAGGAATGATTCACATCTATGGTAG